GCCATCGCTGGTTTATTAGTAGGTAAGATATAGATATAGATATAGATATAGATATAGATTATATATATATATACCGACAATTTTAGGTTTTTGTTATTGCATCCATTCATGATATTAAGTTGTACTAACTAGCTCTGTAACAATGTTAAATATGGCTAAGAGCCTAAGACTTACCCCTGTCATGAAGATCATCATGTTTTTCATCTACAATTTTAAGATTCAACCATGGATCAAAACAACAAAATGAAAAGGAATGACAGGCGTAAAAAAAGAGGAATGGAGAGCATAGGTAGGTATCATGTAAATTTCATAATTTACCAAGGCACACACTATTTATATAAAGCATGTAATTATGGCATAAACTATGTCAAAAGAAAGTGAGCAGTATTGAATATGATAAAATAACAAAACAAAACCTAATCAGAATTGCAGTAAAGCTCAACTATGTTAATGCAATATTTCTCGACCAAAAAAATCATGAATCAACTATACTTTTTGTAAATGATAGAAGTGAAGGATTCAACTGGATCCGGCGAGGAAGAATTTTTTTTATTGGATTGGTTTGCGACAGTGCTGTTCAGGGTTGGGGATGATTTCCGTGTGGTCTCCATTCCGTGGGGTTGCTTAATTGTCTATTAACTATGGAATAGATGACAAGAACCAAAGTTCTCTTAACCTGCTGTTATTTCTGGTAAGCGGCTAGTTACCGTGCTTGGAGATCAGACTTGTTGCCGATTTGAGCAAGCATCCAGATATTTAACATGTTATGGTATATCTTAGAAAAAAAGTCTAGTTTAAGTTGGAAAAAGGATTATATTTTCCATTTGCCAAGAAAGATGAATCTACAATTATTCTATGTAGAAAAATATAGTCGCTGTATATATGAGAAAAAACACGAAACCTTGTGAACTGTGTGTGGAAGGAGAAATAAACATGAAAAGAAGACATAACATCTGGAGAAATTACTGAGATGCTTCATTTTCCTTGTTGGAAATCAAATCATATGTGATAAAGTATGGGGAGGTTTGTGCAGATGGATATCAGAATACTGGCATGCCACAACTGGCAAGGTAGCAAGACTTGTATCTTTTGACAACATGAAGAGTACATTAAACACCTATTTTTTGAGTGTAAATTTGCTCCTGCGGTGTGGTCCATTGTTCAAGTAACTTCAAATATTTACCCCCTCGCAGTGTGCGTAATATGTTTGACAATTGGTTGCAGGGTATTGAAAAATAATTTTGTTCACACATTCTTGTGGGAGCGGCAGCCTTATGTTCGGATTTGTAGCTTACTAGGAATGATGTGGTTTTTAACAAAAATGTGTTTCATTCCCTGTGCAAGTTATTTATGCATGTATGTGATGGCTTCGTACTTGATCTATCCTGCGGAGACCGGGGGACAGAAACATTTTAAGGATGGTGTCTACCCGGCTGGAATATATGGTGACTGGTGAGGGAGATTTTCTCCCATCATGTAGTCTTCAGTTAGGATCTACCCCCACCTTAGGCTGACCTTTTTTTTGCTCTGTAAAATAATATTTTCTTTTTGGTCCTATTGGAAGTTCTGGCTGCGTGCATTGTGCTATGTAGAGGCTGGACATTCACTCAGTACGGTTGTAGCAACTTGATATATCGATTGAATGAAAATTTCCTTTATAAGAAAATCAACATGTTCAAATAGGAGGCTGAATTTACATTATGAGTATAGTAGGCATACAAAAATACAATGAAGAAAATAAGAATAGAAGTGTTTATGATAATATCTTCAGGCAGATTGTTACTCCAAGTAAAAGCAGATATTTCATCGAAAGATCCTCAGGGGATTATTAGCAACTGTAATTTTTCATATGCTTACATATGAAATATATCGTTCGATAGATGAGTTGTCATCTTTTGAACCCTGAATGACTTAATATCCAATCATGAAAACTAGCATAAACCCAAGTATTTATGAATGAGTTCCAGAATATTTATTAATTTTGATGCTCCTTAATATCGGTAATTTGAATTATCGGAAGCCTGCTAAGATAACTAAATAACTAATCAAACAATATCTAGGAAATTAGAGTGATCCAAGAACCCATAATGAGGGTGACCTGAATAAGGCACGAAGTATTTTGAGACTAAATATGTCTGCATCTGAAACCGCAACACATTTGAGGGTTTTGCAAGACTTACTGTTCAAAATACTTTTTACAGTGCTAAAAAGTTTGTTGTGATCAAATAATGTAAAATAGTCACATTAGTTAAGATATGGAACTAAAATGTAATTTGGAGCTGCACCTATATAGACAACCTGCCCAAGGTGAAAATATCATAAGCCTCAATTTTCCAAATGTGTGGTATGTGAGTTGCTGCCCATGTGCATGAGCCGTTAAAAGTAGGCACAAAATCTAAGCAATATAATTTGACCCCTTTCATTGAAAAACAGAAAACGAAGATGCAGATCCAGATGCATAAACAAAATTCCTAGCAAAGACCTGAAAACATGCACATATATCTAACCAGTTTAAGAAAACAGAGTTGCCATTCATGATTAGAACGAGAGCTGAAGATACCTCATCACCTAGAACTGAAGTAAACAATATCATTACACAAGTCAGAATCACAAATGTGAAGCAAACGGTGATATGCAATTTATACGATATTGGGCTGACATTTTTATTCCCTGATAGTCACTACTCACTTTTTTTTATAAGGAAGGCAGCAGGACTCTGCGCTGCGTATTTTTATTTTATTGATTTTTTTTGAAAATAAACAGTACAAACTTCACTACTCACTAGTCAACCATAAGTCCATAATCAGCAACTTCTGTCCCATGGAGATATCGGTGGTCGCGGTACATCACCATCCAGTTCCACGTCGAGCAACGCTCCAATGGCCTCCAACCTCTGCATAAGCGGGTCCGCATGAATACGGCGACCTTCTCCGTAGGCCCAGGCCAACACATCTGCCGGGTGTGGGTGATCAAGCTCTGGCAGGGGAAATGGGCCCTGTGAGGTAGCCGTCCGGCAGACCATCTGCGTGTCGGTGTTCGGCAGCAGCTCATTGGCCGTGGTATCAGCAGACAACACCCTGAACAATGGCGACAACGGTATTAGGATTTAGGTAAAGATCCGGTCAGAAACTTCAGCTTCCTGGTATGCTAACCTTTTGACCTCGGCATCTATCTCTTCTGAAGCTCCTGCAGCCACTTCAATAGGAGGCGGAGGCTTGGCGAGCTCGTCCAGTGCTGCCATGATCTCCGAGCGTGGGAAGGGGGGAACAATCATCAGTTCCACGTTGAGCAAAGCTCCAATGGCTTCTAACCTCTGCATAAGAGGGTCCGCATGAATACGGTCTTCTCCATAGGCCCAGGCCAACAAATCTCCCGGGTGTGGGTGCGGGTGGTCACGCGCCGGCAGAGAAAAGGGGACCTGTGAGGCAGTCGTCCCAGAGATCACCTGCACGTTGGCGTTGGGCAGCGGCTCACTGGCCACCGCATCAGCAGACAATACCCTGCACAATGGTGACAACGGTATTAGGATTTAGCAATCACAAAGCCCGTACATCCACAGGTGCAAGTGGAGCCGCTGCACAGGGCCCCCAAAAATCTGGGGCCCCCAATTTTTGTGCAAGTACTATATATATATATATATATATATATATATATATATATATATTACTAAATCCTGAGATTAATAAAGAGGAAAGACTAGATCGTTAAACTGCCAAGAAAAATAAAGTGGAGCCCCAGCCCAACGCACGTCAATTAATCCACCAAGCCCCAACGGAACAGCAGGCCCATAGCCCAACTCATCTCTCTCACGGAGAATTCCAGAAGACTGAAGACGGATCGAATTCCCCTGTTCTTTTCTCTCTCTCTACAACTCTATTCCTCGAGACCAGGACTCGCCGGCGGCTGGCGAATTAACTAGCTCGCAATTAACTCGCAGACTCCTCATCTCCTTTCTCGGATGGCTTCCCAATTATTATCCAAGAAGAGAGCCATTGATGGCAAGTACACAGTGAACTGCAGGTTCGTTTCCGCATCAATCTATAAATTAGGGCGTTTTCTACTGCTTCTTCCACTGATCCATTAATCCATCCATCGTCCCCTTAGAAAATCAAGAGGTTGGAACAGGCCTGGGTTGGAATCTCGCTGCTTGGTGGCCGCAGTCCTTGGAGGTGAGCAATCAGAGCACCAAGCGCCCCCGCCTAATGATCTGCATCCGTCAACAGTCAGCAACCAAAGGTTGTTTCGCCCCCTTTTCACCCCTTTTTAGTTGATCCGTTGTTCTTTCTTGCATTTCTGTATCCTTGGTTTTTCTTAATTTTCTAAGATGTCTTCTAGTTCTAAACGCCCTGGTAGGAAGTATAAATCTGGGTATGAAAAACGTACAAAGAAGAAAAAAGCTGAATATCTTATTCATTCTCTGAAGGGGTCTCTTGATAAATTTGTTGTGAAAGAACCACAAGTTTCTTCCGAAAATCAGAATATAGAGGCTGATGTTGATGATAATGTTGACAACATTCAGGTTGAGAATACTAATCCTGATGAGGCTAACCTCCATGGAAATGTCGTTGGCGCTAGTGTTAATGAAAACATGGATAGTTCATCTGATAAGAATAACATGGATGCATCTTCCGATGGTAATGTTTCTTTCCAGCCAGATATATTTGATCCAAGGAATTGGGATGCCCTTGACTCAAAAGCGATTGACATCTTGGTAGAAAAGGGTCCCAAAAGAGATTTAACTATAAAAAAAAGGCCGGAAGGATAAAAATAAAAGATGCTTTTCTTCGATATTTTACACAAGAGTTCTACCAAATGGAGAGAAGTGTGATAGAGATTGGCTTGTATACTCTAGAGAACTTGACAAGGTATTCTGCTTTTGTTGCAAACTATTTCGAAAGGGGCATGGAAAGGGTCATTTGCCTTGTGAGGGTTTTAATGATTGGGCACATATTAGCATTAGAATTAGAGAGCACAAAACAAGTGCCGAACATGTTCTGAATATGGTCACTTGGTATGATTTGCGACTACGGTTGCAAAAGCATCAAACTATTAATTGTGTAGCACAGCGACAACTTGAGAAAGAAAAGGACCATTGGAGAAAAGTTCTATTTAGAATTCTTTTGATGGTAAAATTTCTTGCGAAACACAATCTTGCATTTCGTGGTACTAACTCGACATTGTATCAAGATAATAATGGAAATTTCTTAGGCTTGGTTGAAATGCTAGCTGAGTTCGACCCAATTATTCAGGAGCATGTTAGGCGCATAACAAACAATGAAACTCATGTTCATTACCTTGGTCATGGGATCCAAAATGAGTTAATACATTTGCTTGCTTCTGCAATTAAGTCAGAGATAATTAAAAAAATTAAAGAAGCAAAGTATTTTTCCGTTATACTTGATTGTACCCCTGATGCGAGCCACCAAGAACAAATGTCTCTGATAATACGATATGTCAATGCATCTTCGACTTTTGTTTCCATTGAGGAATCCTTTTTACGATTTTTGGATGTCAATGATACAACTGGGCAAGGGCTTTTTGATGTTTTGCAGGAAGAACTACGGAATCTTGACCTGGATATAGATGATGTGAGAGGACAGAGCTACGATAATGGTGCGAATATGAAAGGTAAGAATAATGGTGTTCAAAGGAAACTTTTGGATAAAAATCCTAGAGCTTTTTATTCAGCATGTGGTTGTCATAGTCTTAATTTGACACTTTGTGACATGGCAAAAACTTGTGGTAAAGCAAAGGACTTTTTTGGAATCATACAACGCATCTACACAACATTTGCTAATTCAACTAAAAAGTGGCAGATCTTGAAAGATAATATAGATGATACAACAGGATTGACTCTCAAGTCGTTGTCATCTACTCGTTGGGAGAGTCGAATAGATAGTGTTAAAGCTATAAGAATTCAGATTTCGAACATACGAGAAGCTTTACTGCAAGTATCTGATATTGATAATGATCCAAAAACTAGCAGTGAAGCTAAATCTCTCGCGAATAATGAACTTGGTGATTTTGAATTTTTAGTAGCTATTGTTATTTGGTATGAAATACTGTATGCCGTCAATCTGGTCAGCAAGAACTTACAATCAAAGGATATGCTTATTGATGTTGCTATTGAGCAAGTGCAGGGGCTAATTACCTTTTTTAATGGGTATAGAGACACTGGTTTTTGTAATGCATTGGAAACAGCAAAAGAAATTGCACTTGAAATGGAGATCGATCCTACATTTCGTCAAAAGCGTGAGTTTAAAAGAAAGAAACAATTTGACGAAAACCCAGATGATGTGTTTATTTCTTCACAACCTGCACATGAATCATTTAGGAGAAAATATTTTATTCCTGTTGTTGATCAGGCTATCAGTTCACTTACAACATGATTTGAGCAATATGAATCATTCCAAAAGAACTTTGGTTTTTTATTTACTTCTAATGCACTAAAATCATTGGATGAGAAGAGCTTAAAATCTTCTTGTACTACCTCCGTCTCGGTGAATAAGTCATTCGCGTAGTTCTAGATCGACGATTTAACTATCTAAATATGTATTATATGTGACAAAAGATATATATTTAGAAACTACATTCGTGTAGAAATCTAGTGATATACTTTTCATGACATATAACACATATTTAATTGCTCAAATCGATGACCTAGAACTACGCAAATGACTTATTCACCTAGACGGAGGTAGTAGTGTTCTTGAGGCTGCACTAAAGAGTGGGGGGAAATCAGACATTAATGGTAGTGAATTATATGTTGAGCTAAATTTACTTAAAAGTTTCATTCCAAATGATAATATGGGGCCGGTTGATATCTTGAAATTTCTTAAACGGCTAGATTGTTTCCCTAATGCAACTATTGCATATAGAATTTTGTTAACTATTCCAGTGACCGTCGCATCAGCTGAGAGAAGTTTCTCCAAATTGAAATTATTGAAGTCCTATCTACGTTCAACAATGACACAAGAAAGGCTCAGTGGGTTGGCTACTATAGCAATTGAAAATGATATACTGGAGGGGGTTGCTTATGAAGATCTAATTGAAGATTTTGTATCAAGAAATGCTCAAAGGATGGCACGCTTTGGCTAACAGAGTAAAAGATGGACCTGTAGCTCAAAATTCTAAGATTTTTCTCTTGTATTATGTAGTTCCTTGAGAAATCTGTACTGCTGTAGTGACTAATAAAAATAATGTTTAAATTGCCTACTTGACTTTCTTATATATGGGGCCTAAATTGTGATTTCGCTCCAGGGCCTCAATTTCCGGGGTACGGCCCTGGATCCAGTAAAGACTCCAAGAAGAAGAAAGTTTAGCTTCCTAGAAAGCTAACCTTTTGATCTAACCCTCGTCGCCCGGGATCAGGGTGGACGACACGAGCGGGCTTTTTGGCCCGCTCGTGGCCCGCTCGGTCCCGTCCAGCTCGGTCCTGGCCCGCTCAAAAAAATAGCCGGTCCGGTCCATGAAATATGGACCGAAAATTCGTCGGTCCGGTCCGGTTAAAGCCCGGTCCGCTCGCTCGGACCGAAGGAGACCGAGAGAAAAGGGGTGATCCAATAATCACGGAGCAATCACACGATAATTTCTTGCTATACCTATATGGGAATAACTACCCAGGATTCGTTAATCCATTCTCCCCTTATTTCCACGTACTCCTTCCGTAAAAGTAGTTACCCTAGCAGGCTAGCACGGTCGTATCAATCCCTCGACTTACTCCACCCTCCTGTTTCCTTTTATTCGCAACTAACGGGAGAAACAGCTACGATCCGATAATTATGGCGCCATCCCGCAATTAGGGCATGTACAATGGTGCTATCTTAGTAGTGCCACGTAGGATCAATGATGAGGTGGAGGAGAGAGAACTCATAAGAAAAGGCTTGTCTTCTCTTATTTAAGAGAAGACAAGAGATGATCTCTTAGCACAATATGTCTCACCACGTTTTTAGGAATTGCTAATTATTGAAGATAAGACTAAGAGATGACCCATTGTAGACTCTTTTTTTTGTTATCTCTAAATTACATGCAAAACTTAAGATAAGACTATCTTATCAACCATTGTACATGCCCTTAACTCCACGTCCAATTTTATCTACTCATCCACGGCAAGGCCAGACATGCATAATCATGGGCACATGCACGCGATAGATTGCTTGCATGCAACAGAGAAAACTGCTAAGAGATAAACATGCGCACGTTCATGGCTAACAGCATTTCCAATGGCACGTCGTCTACCTCTCGCCGCAGGCTCTCGCGCACGTCTGCCACCTCGCCACAGCACCTGCGCACGTCGCCCACCTCGTCTCTGCACCCGCGCAAGTCGCCGCCGGTGATGGTTGGTCGGTCCACTCGGTTCGGCCCGAGCTTCTCTGCCGCCGGTCCGGTCCCTGGAAACAGGACCGCGAGGCTGGTCGGTCCGGTCCGGTCCGGACCGCCGGCCGCCGGTCCAAATGGCAGCTCGGTGAAGGACCGGACCGGCCCGGACCGTGTCCACCCTGAGCCCGGGAGTACAACCTCCGGGTTGTCGGCGGAATTAGCAGCACCAAGCCGTGGTTGGCTTCCAGAATGACCCATGTCAAAGCTAGATAGGAAGTGGGATTGATCACGGAATAATTCAATCAAGCAGCAACAGATCTGCATCAATAAGATATTACTAGCAAGTACTGGGCAGGCAGCTAACCTTGAGTCCTCCGCACGCCGGCGCTTGAGATGAGAGGCTCCACGGTGCAATGGATGATGCTGGGGATGGAGATGATGCTAGGGTTGGAGATCTAGATATTCCAGAATCGTAAGCTTGAAAAGTTAGTACAAAGTTGAGTCATCTATTTTGAAACGGAGGGAGTAGTGGACAGAGGCCAGGAGCAACCTTCTTTCAAAAAAAAAAATCCTCATAGTGCATGATTTACATCAAATTAAGGTCAGTTTTTTTAAAAAAAATAGTACTGTGTGATGTGAGATGTCATGCTTGATAGGCTTCTCTGAATCTATCTTGTACTCCCTCCGTTTCTAAATATAAGCCTTTTAGAGATTTCAATACGGACTTCATACGGATATATATATATGGAGACATATTTTAAAGTGTAGATTTACTTATTATACTGACAAATTTGTTCTGATGCTTATCATTCTCTTTGCTACTGAGACATATTTTATGTTCGAGTTTCAACTCAGGTACCATCACTAAATTTGTCCCATGTCAATAGTAGTAATCACTTTTGACACGCAAATGAAAGGTTTCTGCGCGGGTGTGAGAACATTTCAAACATCATATTGAATTCACTTTTTTGTTGCTATCAACCCGTCAAGCATAGATATGATAACAAGATCTTCAAGATATAGCTATTGTGGTGACAGTAAATGTCATTATTTATTACCACAAAGTTGCATCCGCTGATTTTTATAATCTCACAACATTAAAATTACAATCTGTATGTAACATTTTATCTCAGCTTCTTAGGTTTTTGTTTTCTGTCAGGTATATCAAGGATGGAAAAGGCTCATCTACAAGCACATGGCATGGCACAATTATCACACATTAGATTAGAGATTGTTATTTTATATATTATATCATAGAATTTCTTATCCGTCAGTATGTGTAATAAGCTTATACCATCACTAGTAGAAAACGGGCCTTTAGTCCCGGTTCCAGAGGGCCTTTAGTTCCGGTTCTGGAACCGGGATTAAAGGGTCGGGACTAAAGCCCAAAACCTTTAGTCCCGGTCTGCTTTCAACCGAGACTGAAGGGGCTCCACGCGGCCGCTATCTGGAGCTCCACCTTTAGTCCCGGTTGATAACACCAACTGGGACTAAAGGATTTTTTTTGATTTTTTGAACTTTTTTCCTGATTTTCAAAATTTTGAATTATTTGACAATTTAATCTCTAATCACCCCACATCACTGCTCAATTTAACCTCTAATCTCTAATCACCCCTCATCATTTCAAATCATCTAACTTCCCGGCCCGTCACCCATCCTCTCACTACTCCAACCTGAGCACGCTTAGAGCATCTCCAGCCATTAGCCCCCCTGGAGGCATAAAAATCACTGCCCTGGGGCGAGCTGGCGGCAGAATCAGCGCTAGGGGCGGTTGGGAATCCATCCGTCACCCCCAGGCGCCGATATCGAGCCATTCGTGGCCGCTTTTCGGCCTAGATAAATAGAAAAATGACCCGATATCGACGAGAAATGGCCCATATTCGGTGTGGTTTGGCGTTGAATTCTTAACATAAATATTTTTTATCACATAGTTCATCATAGAAAATCAAATAGTTCAACAAAATAGTGCAACAACAAATAGTCCAATACAAATTATATAGTTCAACAAATAAAAACTCATATTTCATCACACGTCGAGCCCGTCGTCGCCCTTGATCCTTCATAGGTGCTCCACCAGATCCTGCTGCAGTTGATGATGCACCTGTGGGTCTCGGATCTCCTGGCGCATACTGAGGTAGGCACTCCAGGTTGCCGGTACCTGATGATCAACTCCGACTAGAGGACCCTGCCTGTAGTATGGTTCAGTGTCAAACACTAGCTCTTCCTGCTCGCTCTCGATGATCATGTTGTGCAAGATGACACAGCAAGTCATGATCTCCCACATTTGATCTTTCAACCAGGTCTGAGCAGGGTACCGGACAACAACAAATCAAGATTGGAGCACACAAAATGCCCACTCGACATCCTTCCTGCAAGCCTCCTACACCTTGGCAAAGTGGGACTTCTTGCTTTCTGGCACAACATTTGAGATAGTCTTCACAAATGTAGACCATCACGGATAGATGCCATCAGGTAGGTAGTACCCCTTGTTGTAGTGCCGCCCATTGACCACGAAGTTCACCGGAGGAGAATAACCTTCAACAAGCTTGGCAAAGACAGGGGAGCACTGCAGCACGTTGATGTCATTGTGAGTTCCTGGCATACCAAAGAAAGAGTGCCAAATCCAGAGGTCCTGTGTGGCCGCCTCAAGTATCACACTGCAACCGCCTTTGGCACCTTTGTACATCCTCTGCCAAGCAAATGGGCAGTTCTTCCATTTCCAATGCGTGCAGTCGATACTTCCAAGCATCCCAGGGAATTCTCTTGCTGCATTCTGTGCTAGGATCCGAGCAATGTCTTCTGCTTTGGGTGTTCGCAAGTATTGCGGTCCAAACACTGCCACCACTGCCCGACAGAACTTGTAGAAATAGTCAATGGTGGTGGACTCGGCCATGCGCCCATAGTCATGGAGTGAATCACCGGGAACTCCATATGCAAGCATCCTCATCGCTGTCGTGCACTTCTGGATTGAGGTGAATCCAAGTTTGTCGGTGCAATCCTTCTTGCACTTGAAGTAGATGTCGAACTCCCGGATGGAATTCACAATCCTGAGGAAAAGCTTTCGGCTCAGCCGATAACGGTGCCAAAATGTTCTGTCGCCGTGCAGTGGAGTGTCGGTGAAGTAGTCGGAGTAGAGCGTGTAGTAGCCTTCGAGACGATGCTAGTTCTTTGCATTCATCCGCCCCGGCGCCGAGCCACCTCGCCATGGCTTTTCATTGCTCTTAACTTCCGAGTTCTATTCTAAAAAGTCACCTGGGGGGCCTGTTGGGGGCGCGGCTGGAGATGCTCTTAACTTCCGAGTTCTATTCTCCTTCATTTTCAAGTCTGCACTTGTTGTTTTCGTGACAATAGTAAGCGTCAATCCTATTAACCCTTAGGAGTTGAACTTGAGTATGAAGAACCGCTTGAGTTTGAAACTATTATTCTAAAAAACAATAATTAATTAGTAACACTAATATTTCTTGAATAAATAGTTTGACCAAAAATTCAAAAAACTGAAAATTGAGGATAAATTTTTCTCCTTTCAGAATTTGACCATAGTTTTTCCTTTCATAACCGATTTTTGTGCTGAACATTTTGATATATTATACTTTTTCATAACACGTTTTTGCAAAACATGTCCAAATTTAAGTTCTTAAATTTTCCCTAGTAGATGTAGTAATATAACTACATCTCGAAGGATTTTAATTTTTGAAGTTTTTATCATTTTCTTTTGTTTTCTTCAAAACTGAAATGGCGATAGGGGGGGGGGGTAGAGTTTGAGACACGCCCTAGCCGCT